TGTTGGATTGAAAGCGACCGATTCTGTGAGCTCTTTCAATATATTTCGTTTCTCAATCACGATGCCCATAGTTTCAGTAACAATAGATAGCACGGCGTCTTCCGATTGATCCCATGTTTTCGATTAGTTGTCTGGCAAGCCGAACAAAAGAAAGTTATTTCTACGCAGTCTGTTTTCAGCATCGTCCGCAGCAGCTTTCAATGCATGCGATATCTTGAGACACACAAATTACATTGCCCGTAGACAGCGGACGACGCTGTTCGAGGCAAGTTACCCTTTCCTCCAGACCCGTCATTTCACATTCAACAGTCCGTTCATTGCTGCATGACTTGCAATGTTGTCAATAGCGGCAATTGCCCCTGTTCGATACGCAGTACCGACTGAAGCACTGACGAGCACTCGTAAGAATCAGTCTGATTGCCGAATTCACAACGCTCTTTCGGGCCAGGGTTCCGTTCAACGTCCCCTGCCAAAAGCAAAAGCATACGCCGAAACATGATACGGAATATGAGAAAAAAACATCTACAAAGGATACTGCCCAGGGTTTTGCCAACGTCAACATTAAAGGGGCACGACACCACAAGAAGGCAACGGTTAGAAGTTCTAAAGTAAGTAGTATTGCTTAAATAACTAACCTGGGTCACAAACACTCGCGAGTACATGCACGGCGCGGTGTGTGTTCCCCAAATTCGGCAGCCGTTGAAGGTTGTTTAAATACGCCCTCCGTCAAGGTCCCTGGTTGCCAGATGAAGGTAGTGGTTTGCTCCAAACGATGCGGAGGAATCCTGGCTGTTCTGTCTTCACACGATGACCGGTGAAGATCGATCCCGCGTCAGCAAAGTGATCAGCGCCTTGAGCGAGGAATCCATCGACGATAGCAGCTGGTCCGAGAGTCCAGGCAGCCAATAGCACATGAGTCACAAAATATCGTGAGTACACGCTCGGCGCAGTGTATGCCCCAAGTTCGGCAGCCATTGCAGGTCGTTTAAATACGCCCTCCGTCAAGACCCCTGGTTGCCAGATGAAGGTAGTGGTTTGCTCCAAACGATGCGGAGGAATCCTGGCTGTTCTGTCTTCACACGATGACCGGTGAAGATCGATCCCGCGTCAGCAAAGTGATCAGCGCCTTGAGCGAGGAATCCATCGACGATAGCAGCTGGTCCGAGAGTCCAGGCAGCCAATAGCACATGAGTCACAAAATATCGTGAGTACACGCTCGGCGCAGTGTATGCCCCAAGTTCGGCAGCCATTGCAGGTCGTTTAAATACGCCCTCCGTCAAGACCCCTGGTTGCCAGATGAAGGTAGTGGTTTGCTCCAAACGATGCGGAGGAATCCTGGCGTGTGGCTGTTCTGTCTTCACACGATGACCGGTGTAGATCGATCCCGCGTCAGCAAAGTGATCAGCGCCTTGAGCGGGGAATCCATCGACGATAGCAGCTGGTCCGAGAGTCCAGGCAGCCAATAGCACATGAGTCACAAAATATCGTGAGTACACGCTCGGCGCAGTGTATGCCCCAAGTTCGGCAGCCATTGAAGGTCGTTTAAATACGCCCTCTGTCAAGAACCCTTGTTGCCAGATGAAGGTAGTGGTTTGCTCCAAACGATGCGGAGGAATCCTGGCGTGTGGCTGTTCTGTCTTCACACGATGACCGGTGTAGATCGATCCCGCGTCAGCAAAGTGATCAGCGCCTTGAGCGGGGAATCCATCGACGATAGCAGCTGGTCCGAGAGTCCAGGCAGCCAATAGCACATGAGTCACAAAATATCGTGAGTACACGCTCGGCGCAGTGTATGCCCCAAGTTCGGCAGCCATTGCAGGTCGTTTAAATACGCCCTCTGTCAAGAACCCTTGTTGCCAGATGAAGGCAGTGGTTTGCTCCAAACGATGCGGAGGAATCCTGGCGTGTGGCTGTTCTGTCTTCACACGATGACCGGTGTAGATCGATCCCGCGTCAGCAAAGTGATCAGCGCCTTGAGCGGGGAATCCATCGACGATAGCAGCTGGTCCGAGAGTCCAGGCAGCCAATAGCACATGAGTCACAAAATATCGTGAGTACACGCTCGGCGCAGTGTATGCCCCAAGTTCGGCAGCCATTGAAGGTCGTTTAAATACGCCCTCTGTCAAGAACCCTTGTTGCCAGATGAAGGTAGTGGTTTGCTCCAAACGATGCGGAGGAATCCTGGCGTGTGGCTGTTCTGTCTTCACACGATGACCGGTGTAGATCGATCCCGCGTCAGCAAAGTGATCAGCGCCTTGAGCGGGGAATCCATCGACGATAGCAGCTGGTCCGAGAGTCCAGGCAGCCAATAGCACATGAGTCACAAAATATCGTGAGTACACGCTCGGCGCAGTGTATGCCCCAAGTTCGGCAGCCATTGAAGGTCGTTTAAATACGCCCTCTGTCAAGAACCCTTGTTGCCAGATGAAGGTAGTGGTTTGCTCCAAACGATGCGGAGGAATCCTGGCGTGTGGCTGTTCTGTCTTCACACGATGACCGGTGTAGATCGATCCCGCGTCAGCAAAGTGATCAGCGCCTTGAGCGGGGAATCCATCGACGATAGCAGCTGGTCCGAGAGTCCAGGCAGCCAATAGCACATGAGTCACAAAATATCGTGAGTACACGCTCGGCGCAGTGTATGCCCCAAGTTCGGCAGCCATTGAAGGTCGTTTAAATACGCCCTCTGTCAAGAACCCTTGTTGCCAGATGAAGGTAGTGGTTTGCTCCAAACGATGCGGAGGAATCCTGGCGTGTGGCTGTTCTGTCTTCACACGATGACCGGTGTAGATCGATCCCGCGTCAGCAAAGTGATCAGCGCCTTGAGCGGGGAATCCATCGACGATAGCAGCTGGTCCGAGAGTCCAGGCAGCCAATAGCACATGAGTCACAAAATATCGTGAGTACACGCTCGGCGCAGTGTATGCCCCAAGTTCAGCAGCCATTGCAGGTCGTTTAAATACGCCCTCTGTCAAGAACCCTTGTTGCCAGATGAAGGTAGTGGTTTGCTCCAAACGATGCGGAGGAATCCTGGCGTGTGGCTGTTCTGTCTTCACACGATGACCGGTGTAGATCGATCCCGCGTCAGCAAAGTGATCAGCGCCTTGAGCGAGGAATCCATCGGCGATAGTAGCTGGTCCGAGTGTTCAGGCAGCCAATAGCACCTGGGTCTCAAACAAACCTGAGTACATGCTCGGCGCGGTGTGTGCCTTGTTCGCGCAGGTGCGCTGGTTTGACTGACTGGCCTAAATATAAGTTGCAAGTTTGCGCCTGTCTGTGTCGTGCATGTTTTCTTCTTCATCCTTGTGGTTTTGTGCTTTTAACTTTTTAAATCATCATTAATCAGCCACCTCAAACCAAAGTCTTAACTAAACAATGTTCGTTATAGGAAAACAGGGGTTGCGGTTGCTGGTGTGTGTTTCTATTAAAAATTGACTCAGCACACTTATTTGTTCCAAAACATGGATGGCATTTAGAAAGTATAATTTTAGATTGTATATAAATCAGGAAGCATATTTCGTGAAATATTGCAAGAAATATGTCGAAGTGGTCATTCAATAATTTCGTATTTGGAGAACCACCACGTTTTAACTTTTAAGACTTTCACACTAAGCTGCAGCAATCATTGGTATTTTAGGTGACTGTCACTGACACTTCATCGATTTATATAAAACATTCGACTTAGGTAAGGAATTAAGAAAAAAATTAATGTTATAAACACCAAGTTTTTATGCTAACCTTGTTTTTATATGCTGCTGCGTTTAAGTAGTAAAGACAAAAATTATTGTTTTTCTTACTTGAAAACAAAAATGCAGTGTACAAACGTTAAACACGACTTGTCTCATTACAATAATAATGCCTTTTGCAAAAAAAAAAAAAAAGAAAAGAAAATGCGAAAAATGCATTTAATTTTAGCGCTTCACACTGCTTCGAACCGGTTTGAACCGTTATTCTGGCATTCTGGAGCTGAACCGGAACTGAACCGAAAGCTGTGAGCCCAAACACGAACCGAACCAACAAAAAACTTCGGTTCGACACTCTTCCTATATAATACTGCAATGCAAGTTTGCTCAAAGATAGGCTACAGTCTACCAGTCTTGTACACGTTACACAAAAAAGATAATCGATTACTATTAAAATTATTCTTGTTTATAAAGTATTCAGTTAGATTACTTCATTACTGAAAAAAAAAGGCCGTTACTTGAAAAAGCAACCGTTCCTTTTCCGACTAGTTCAAATTTTCAAAACGACAAACTTTTCTACCGGATTGTAAACGGGTCTCGCGTACTGTCTAATATTAGATTAGAATTACATTAAATTAGAATAGACTATGATTTTGGTAATCGATCATCCCGTCGGAGACTTGGTTTTAAGATTCCCTGCTAGGAAACTCGTAATAACCAAGGGCGCCATTAGTTAGGGAATGCAAAAAATAGTTATAGACACGAGTAAGTTTAATATTTCCAAAGGAATGCCATTACTCTCGTGATGATTTCCTAATAAAAGTCATGAAATGATTACAAAACTACTCCAAAAGGAAAGTAATTGCAAGAAATTTGTTTACTTCGAATGAGCAGCGCAAAAGTTTGCTCCCTTCTGAGGACGCTTTCAGTGTTTCAGGGAAAAGTTCCATGTCAATTGGCCTTCTGGCAAATAACGTCTGAATTGGACTTAAATTCCGGAGCGGCGATGTTTCGCAAAGTGTGTAGCCCGAGTTGGAAGATTCTCTACTTTCCCAACAAGAACGCAATGACTGGGCGAAGGAACTGGAAAAGCCCGCATTAAAACGGGGGAAAAAAATCAACGTCTCAAACTCAGCTGACTTGTTTACACAATATTCTCCCCCATAGGTACATCATTCTCGAGGTCACCTATAACTACACGACACATATAAAAAAAAAAAAAAAAAACACGCATTGGTCAGAATTTATCACTGTTAAAAAATGCCAAATTACACCGCGCGTCAGCATGATCACGGTATTAAGACAGTCAACTCAATGTTGTTTGCAGAAAAAAAAAAAGCTTGGATTTATTTACAGTAGTAGTTAGTGGTGAGGGTAGCGGAAAGCCGGAACATAAGGATTTATTTACACAAAGTTGGTGGTCAGTTGACGCGGCCGGCTGCAGGTCTGCCCGGCAAGCACTGAATCCTTGACATGGTGAGGTCCATTAGCGTCCTTCTGTCGGCGCACCTAAACCCATGCAGCACGTGTTGAAACACGGGGTCGTACTTTCGTGACAGCAACCACCCGAACGAGCAGCCGCGACAGGTAAACGGGTTTCCTGTAGAGAAAGAACACGGCCATAATGAGTCCACCGTGGCCACATTTTAGATAACGCTGACAGCTTAAAAATCAAACAAAAACAAACGTACGGCGTGCTTTTTTTTAAGCTCAGACTTTTTGTTTCTTGATTTGTTTATTGGTTTTCTGCCGCTTTGCGGTGGCTCTCGGCGAGCTTTACGTGTTTGCCCCTTGAGAAGGGTCGGGAATCCACTAACAATGACGTCTGGGGCAGGCCTCATCGTCTAGGTGGTATCGACCCCACACGCTCAGAGTTTCTTGAGCTGCCAGTGAATATTGCCACGCGCGTCTGCAAGCAAGCGCGCTCGTGGCCGAATAATTATCGTGCTTGGCTCCCACGGTAAAGGACCGAGGTTCGATGCCTGGAAAGCGGACGTACCTGTTCGCTATTTTTGTAAATGATGCGTTCTGGTGAATTCAAGAACCCTGTGGTTTATTCAAAGTCCGATTGTTCTACGCATTCTACGCCGATTGTGTACATAAGGGCTCCGCGTGGCGAGCCTGAACCAGTCGTGCCCCTTCGTTCGATCCATGCTTTTTTGCCGACATCGACACTTGCGACGACGGTGTTTTTTTGTTTTATTTCGTTTTGGGCACAAGTTCGCCCCATTAAACGTTTATTTTCCTTCACTCATTCGTCGCCTCATCAATTGCCAGTGAGAGGGCAGGGGATCTTCTCAATATTCGACCCCTAGGCCCCAACGGAAGCGTCACCAGCTTTGTGGAAGATGTCCTGCGCTTGAGCGTCCGTGCCGACCCGCAAGCCACAGACGAGACGTTGCGGGTTCTCATGAGCGGGGCGACAGACGACATCTCTGGAGGCCTCGTCCTCAACCCGCCGGAAACCCTCGAAGCCTTCGTCACTGAGGCAACAAACATCGAACGCGCCCTCAAAGCGCGCGTTTCCAACCACCAGCAACATTCAGGCGTCGCTGCATCCACGCTGCTTAGCGGCGAAAACGCTCCTGTTAAGCCGAACATCCTCGAAATTATCCGGGAGGTCGTTTGTGATGAGCTCCGAAGGTTGCTGCCGACCGCTAATCGTCCAGCGACCCTCTCCATCGCCAAGGCAGTCCGCGAAGAAGTGCAGCCTGAGCTTCCCGTCACCATGGTGGCGCCAGATGAGCCGACACTGAGCTACGCCGCCATGACCCGATGGGGTCACTACCAGTTCGGCCGGCCCTCGCGGAAGGGCCAAGTGTGGATTAGGGCCGAGCGAGCCGGAACTGCCGAGTGCGGGGGCTAGGTCGACGACTGCGAAAGGGCCGGGAGGGGTGTCGAGGCCGAAAGAGGGGGGAAGGCCGGGCACGGCGGCAAGGCTAAGGGAGGCGAAAGGGCCGAGAACGGGTGTGGGGATTAGAGCGATCAGCACACGCGTGGCTACTCCGGCGTCGCGGGAATTCGTTGAAAAGAAGACCGATAGATGGCGCGCCCTGTTTTCGCTTCTTTCTGTTTGGAGACCTGTTTGGTCTGACAAGTTTAGTCTGGAAACCTGGTATTTTTTTTTCTTTTCTTTTTTTAACGCACCGTTTATTAGCAAACCTTTCACAAGAAAAAATATGAGGTAAACCAACCCGTCCTGAGTTTCGAAACCCAGGACGGGTTGGTTTCCTTAATATTTTTAATTGAAAATCCACTCGGCTACGTAGGCCAAAGTAGCAGACCTCTTATCCGCTAGGCCATGGACGCATGACGGATTTTGCGACAACTTTTAGGAATATAAATAGAAAAAACGAGAACGCACATCTCTTATTTTTATTTTTTTTCCTCTCTTTCTATCACGAATTTTAGCAATCTCAAATATACTTGCCGCAGCTAAAGTACAGCAAGATGTTTACTTTCAGTCGTGATTAAAACCTGTTGAGTCCCGCTACGACACCGGAATCAAAATTTTGTAATCGGTGCGAGAACAGTAGCCGTGGTTCCAGCCGGCCCGATACGCGCCCAGGCATAACTACTCCATGGCCGATCGCACCGCTGAAGTATCGTATCGAAGGTGCAAAAACGGTCTGCTAAACTTGAGGGATCAGGGATCGCAAAGCATGCTTGGAGGTAACTACACACTAGAGTCACAGCTCTATTTAATAGCTGTAGAAGTCATCTGCGTCGCAGACGAAATCTGCGTGAGGAACACCGATGATTCAGTCCAGCGAGAACGCGCTTGAGAGCAGACGACAAAACACGTCACTTCCGCAAATAAAAAAAAACAAGAAAAAAAAACAACATATTGCGTTATCTTTTAGACGATGACTGCGCCCCAACTTCCAAGCAGCACACCATTGCTTGACCAAATAAGCCCGCAACTGGCAAACATTGGTTCCAATGTTGGCCTAATGTTGATTTTCTCGAAACCGCTAAACGATCTAACGTTGGACCATTAACTAATGCCAATGTAGGACCACGATTCAACCAATGTTTAGGCTGATATCGGACCATCATTTATGCCATCGTTGAACCGCCTTTTAACCAGAATTTAAGCCCAACATTGGGCCACAATTTCACCAACACCTAAGCCATCATTGGACCACTATTGATTGTGAATCCTATACAACCAAAATTGGCATCAAAGTTTAATCACTGGCTTATCCAATATTAGCTCCCAACCTTATGCCCTGGCTATTTAAATTTTGACATCCGATTTCAAGCGCGGGTTGTACTATTTTCGGCAGCCATTTTAGCGGACATGCAGCTTTCTTTTCAGATGTATTTATAGTGATCAGTTGAACACTATACATATATCTGAAAAGAAAGCTGCAGTAAACAAGCCACATTCACTGTGGAATTTTTTTTTATCGCATCCAGGTGAATATAGAAGCATGCAATTCAAAGTGTACCGTCAATACATTTTAGTAAGTATTACAATTAAAGACAAATTAAAGCAAAAATGAGTGCCAGGATTCACCCCTGCAAGCTGTGAACCGGGCAAGAACGTGATGGGATCCTACGCAGAGTTCTGGGCACACAGTTCTAAAAGAAACAGAAGCGAGGGCCTCAATTCAAATGCCAGTTCCCACTAGGCCCATACCACTGTAATTCTAAATATTCGTTTACCTTTCCTTTTCAGTCACTGTCGGTTCTCTCTTACCCTTGTCAATTATGAATATCGAAATAAAATATAGGTTTATTATTCGTCACCCTTTAATCAACTGTTCGATTAATCGATTCAGTTGCTCTCTGACATAACATCTCAAAAAGGCCTGCCGACTCTTTTAATGTTTACATTTCTATAATGAAAACTTTCGTTTCCAGCGAATATTTTTCGTTATTTTGTATACAATAAACTTGAGTATTCTGGGAGATAGCAGTACTGCCTTATATAACAAATAGATGAGCATGTAAGACACCTGGGCCGGCCTGCTGCAATCAGCGCCCCAGCCGACAATGGGTGAAAAAAAGCACTGCAAAGGGTGGGGCGCGGGCGTCTTGAGACGAGATATGAGTCGCGCTCAGCTTTTGCGCTGGCTTTGACAGTGCTTTCCCTAGTCTCAGCTGAGACGCTGTTTCTAGCAACCCGGCATAGGCGTTAACTGTTGTTTTGTTCGCCCGACTTGTCCTAACTCAGAACTCAACCGATCTAGTATTAAATATTGATAGTGATTAAAGAAATTAATCAAATAGTAGAAAGGTTAATCCATAAATTGTTTAGCCCTATTCTTGCAACATCATAGGGTTCCTCAACCCTTCATCTAGCCTTAAGACCTGCTAATCACAATCTCACCATTTAAGTTAACACCTATATCTCTACGTTGATTTGGAAAAAAAAAACTTCTTTACATTTACGGCATTTGCGGTACAGAAATATGCAGTTACAAATGTACTAGTGTTTCCTTCATATTATTTACAAGTTATAAACCAAATCGCTGGCCTTTTTCAGCTCACCAGTGTCAAATGTGCTACGAAATTAACAGTTCAATAAATAGCCTGTTATACGAGAGGAACGTTACAGCTGAACAGAACATAACGCTTGAATCAATCAAGCATTTCAAATAAATCACGCACGGAAAAAAGCTTGACGAGTAAAGAAAATTACAGGCAAATACACTCAAATAGCGCGTTGATATAAATTAAACTCCACTTCCAGCCAACAAACCGAATCTGGGCAAATAAGGGTTAACCAACGCTACTGTGGTATTCAGCTTTAGACATACATCTTGCGACACGAAGACACCCATATCTCAACAGGAAAAATAAAATAAAAATGACTTCGAACATATAAAATAACCAATCAGTTTGTCCCTAACAGTCTATTTTAATAATAAAAAAAAAAAGACACTTACAATTAGCGCTGTACAAGGCCTGTCGGGCCGATCTCTGTGGGTTACAGGCTGGACTCGTCGGAGATTCCTGTCACAGAGTTCGACGCAGTCCAAACTCATCGGATCATGACAAAGCGTACATTGTGTAGCAAGAACACATGTCCCCGATGGTCAAGAGGTCCTCTCTTTGTCACTCACATGGAAGGAAGGGCGGTCCATCGCGTCTTCGGTCCGTCGAGGCTAGTAGTGACATGTATGCACACAACAAAGGAAGGACACAGGTGTGTAGGGGCTGCCGAGAGTATATCCATGGTTTTGACTAGAGCCACTAAATGAGCTGCGTCTAGAGTATCGTCACTCCGTTCGCTGACATTGTTGTGGGCGCCGCCTTTTTGGTGCTTGTGCAGAGCAGACATAGCTGCCGATCGTCATTCTTCAAAAGTGCGACTTCCTCAACATTAAATTCGGTGTAAGGAAGCTCATATAATATAGCTTTGCTTTGTCGCGAACTGTTTAAACATTTGTGGAGGACGAAAAAGCGTTTTCTGTGATTTCAGATAAAGCTTCACATAACTGCCAACCATGATTTTAAGCCACAATACCGCCAAATGCCGTTACTCTGAAGCGTAGCTTATTTAGTGGTACAAGTTTTGACAATCCGCGTGTTCAAGATCGCACTTGGCATTAAGACGGAATGCGCTGCTGGTGATTAAAGCTCTAGAAC